ATTGAAATCAAGAAGCAGTTCAGAACATGTCTGCAGTGAACAAACTTTTCAATATAGTATGTTTACCATTTAATGGCTCAGACAGAGCGAGGATGCAAGACCCCTGATCTCAGTTAGCTGATTGCTGAACCCCATGATGCTGACTGACCTCGGAATGCAAGGCCCAGATTGAGTTCCCCATCATTCTGAATGGTTGAACTCCACAACGTTCTATTACAGGTTTCCCACACCCTTTCTTTAAAGATGTACAAAGTTGGGAACTCAGAAAAATACCCTTGACGATCACCTCTGTCTTTGCAGAGTGGGTCCAAATACTTGCACAGTCAGGAGGTCTGAGAGTGCAGGGGGCGGGGAATTATGGGGTTCAGGGGCGCCCGCGCGGCTACCTTCCCGGCCTACCTTCCCGGCGCTTGAGCGATGGCTGCTGGGTCAGAAGCAGGCGCGGTTCCCCTTCCTGCCGCGGACTGGGGCCCGTCCTCCCTTCCCGGCGCTTGAGCGATGGCTGCTGGGTCGGGAGCAGGCGCGGTTTCCCTTCCTGCCGCGGACTGGGGCCCGGCCTCCCTTCCCGGCGCTTGAGCGATGGCTGCTGGGTCAGAAGCAGGCGCAGTTCCCCTTCCTGCCTCGGACTGGGGCCCGGCCTACCTTCCCGGCGCTTGAGCGATGGCTGCTGGGTCAGGAGCAGGCGCGGTTCCCCTTCCTGCCGCGGACTGGGGCCCGGCCTACCTTCCCGGCGCTTGAGCGATGGATGCTGGGTTGGGAGCAGGCGTGGTTCTCCTTCCCAAGGTGGATCGGGCCCGGCCTACCTCCTGGCGCTTGAGCGATGGTTGCTGGGTCAGGAGCAGGCGTGCCCTTTTAATTGTTTATTTTGAGACAGTCTCATTAAGTTACCCAGGCTGGGCTTAAATCTACTATCTCTCTGCCTCGGCCTCCCAAGTAGCAAAGATTACAACCCTATGCCATCACACATGATTCTTTTTCTAGTTATTCATTTGTTATTGTTCTCTAACCAAATTGTATTATGATCAATCTATGTAATATGGATCATTTAAATTTGTTTAGGCTTTGTTTAGTATTCTTATTAAAACAAAAAGAACATTATTCCTCAGTTGTTGCTCTAGGGTTTGATTAGATGTAGCTTTAAATTGTGTATTGAATTTGAGAATTCTATCCCTAGCACCAGAAAAAAACATGTATTCATGTCTTCTATATTCCTACTGACTTTTTATTTAATGTCTTTATTATTGTGCTATAAGATTGATTTTTACAATCCTATTGTGAAATCAGACTTATCAAGTCTTCCTGTGGTTCTATTTTTATTTTATTTACTTCAAAGCAATATCATTATTTATGTGCAAGTTTAGCACTGTTACATTTTCTTACTGAATGAAACTTTACAATATGTAGTGACTTGTCTTGGTAATGCTTTGTGCTTTTTAGTCTATTTAATCAGATAATACTAATAGAGATATGTCAGCTCTCTTTTATTTAGTTTCCAGCAGACAGATCTTTTCTCATCTTCATACTTTAATCTTGCTATTTGCTTCTGATTACTTTCCATCTTATATACAGCATAAAAGTGAATTATTTTGATCATGGCAACCTTTTTCTTTAACTAGAGAATTTATTCACTTTATATTTGTTGTGATCACTGGTAGAGTTGGACCTTATTCTACCATTTTATTTTGCACTTTCTATTGCCCTTTTATTTTTTCACCCTCTTCTACTTTGCCTTTTTTGGATTAATTGATTTCCCCCTTAAAGTTATTTATTACCCCTCAAGTGGGATGGAGATTATCCATCCTATTTCTATTATTTTAGTTGCCTTAGAAATTTCATCATGAACATTTAACAGAATACATATATATTCTACCTAGCACTCAAGGAATTTAGGACTCTACCTACAATTATCCTTTGCCTGTCGAAGGGCTATTACTGTTCAGTGGGTTTTAAAAAATGATAGGCATAATTTTCTGTACAACCAACTTTATTTCATTTACCCACATGTTAATACATTATTTTTTCAATTGTGGAAAATTCCAACTTACTATTTATTTCGTTATGCCTTTTCTGCATTCTGTCTGCTATGAACAGCCACAAGGCAGGAAAAATCTCAGAGAGCAGATACAATATCATTTATAGCTTCTTTCCCTCATCATCACATTCCCAGTATGACAACCAGAACCTAAGGTTCCAGGACAGAATCTCAACCCTGGGCTGTGCAAAACTGAAGGATAATGGTCACCTTTAAGTTAAAAGAGTCTTGGGGTAGAGTCAAGCTCATGGTCATAACTAGTCCGATTGCTGGGCAAGTGTTGGGAGAGAAGAGACAAGGGACATTGTGAGCTGCTGCAAGAAAAAGTGTCCTGAGTCCCCAACTTGCCAGTTTTGTTCCACTGGTGATCAGCAGTCCTTAGCTTGTCCAACCAAAGATAGCTTGGGGGTCAGTGGGGGGCCTTCAGCTTGTAAGCAAGGGTGCTGACTAAAATGCCTGCATGTTGTCTTCTGTATCAGTGAGACAGAACATCTGACTAACAAAGGGGAGAAACAAAACTACACACAAACAATAAATAAGAGAATTTCTTCCTAGCTACAAATAGAACCAGCCTGTCCATAGGAAGCCATGGCACAGGGTGTGGTGTTATGGGCAATAAATAGCAAGCTTCTTCCCTACAAGGACTCAGGTCCTTGTTTTCCAGTTTCCCTTTGAGAGACTAAAAACTTGCTCTTTTACTTTTATTTGTTCACTATCTCACTCTCTAGAATTACTGTGTATATTGAGATTTCACGTTTTGAGAAGTTGTGAGTGGATGGGATATGTGTGTGTGTGTGTGTGTGTGTGTGTGTGTGTGTACCAGGGATTGAACTCGGGCCCTTGCGCTTGCAAGGCAGGCACCGTGCCACTGATCTAAATCACTGGCCAGGATCTTTTGTGCATGTGTGGATGGGAGTTTTAAAGAGAGCTGACATTTACTGGATATTTTACAATACATGGTGGCCTCCTTTATACATAATTGAACACATTTATTCCATTTACATAGCAATACAACTCTATTAAATTAATATGCTCATTTTACTAATGTGGAAACTGAGGTCCAGACAACTGATATTGAGCTGGAATTTGAGTCCAGATCAGTTTGATTGAAAATCCTCCTTCTTTCAATCTTATCATCATCCTAGATGAGATGTGAAAAATGAGAGGCAATACAGGTTCGTGATTAGAGACTGCTCCAGAGTGGATAATGCCAATGGTCTCCACACAAGACCACTCACTGGGCCTTATGGGCACCACTCACCCAAAGCCATGGGTGGGAAGCTTGAGAAGAAAGGGAACGTCTTCTACACTGTTCTTAGGAAAGGTCACTGCATACGGAGAATAGGTTGCTCCCAGAATACAGTAGCACTTAACACATAAGGAGTCAAAAATTACAAGCACCCACTGAGGCCAGGTGGTACCATAAACGATAAGATGTAAGTGTGCATTAGACTCTACTGTGCATCCACAGACCAAAATCCACGTCCAGGTTATCAGGCAGAGGCATCACTTTCTTTCACTGCACTGAGCTCTGATCGCCATTACCATGTGGGAAGAGAGGCTAACCTTGCTTTATCTTCCATGTTTTAAGGTCCAGAAATCTAGATTTTTGAGTGACATCTCCAGATTTTTTCCCCCATGTTATCTGTTTGCAAATTGGCATCTGTTCCATTGCTGGGCAGTTCTTGAGGAACAAAAATGGTACCCAGATGCCATATGGGCCACAGACAGGGGATGGAAGAAGGAGAGAAAGCCAGGCTTGTGTTCCAGAGGAGGCATGAAATCTCTCCATTGGTGATAGGAATTGATTGAGTTACAGGTTCAGTATGGCTCCTTCTTGCATCACCTAATATTTTGGGCTCATAAACCTACATATAGGAAAAAGATTACACCTATGCTTTGTATGTTCCTATGATTATGTCTACACGTATTGTATTTTGAGGGTGTGGTTCCTAGAGAAGAAAGAAAATTTGTGATGCATTGAAGCATAACAGGATGCTAAAATGCCTGACATCGGTTATAGAAGTCATGAAACTTAAGTTCGGTGCTGCAATATAACGTGAACACTGTGAGTGTCTCATCAAGATGGAAAGTGAGCACAACTTCATCAGAAGGGTGGCCCTAAAATTCTTTACCATTAGCCTCCCTTTCTCTGTCTAGGTCCTTCTCTCTCTCGTCTCTCAGAGTAGAAAAGAGAAAGATTTTAAGTTGTAAAAAAGGTACAAAAGAAAGATGAGCAACTCTGGAGTCAAACAGGCCTGCTGCGGTCATTCTCCTTCGGCATTCCCTGAGGAGGACCGTGCCTTCCCATCCCACTGACTGAGGGCTTTGTCAACAGAAGGTGAGTGGACGCATAGCGTGCAATTTCTGAACAAAAGCCCCAACTGTGTGGTTTGTGTCCATCTCTGGTCCTTCCCTTTATTTCTGAGAATGGACAACCCTGCCTGGGTCCCAAAATGAGAAGTTTCACCCATAGCCACAAATTAAATGTATGCTGTGAGCAGCCTTCAGATTAGGGGGTGATTTGCTATACTTCAGCGCTGACTGATACACTTGGCTTTGCCTCCTCTGGTTGTACAATCTTCAGAAAGTTGCTTCATTGATTCAAACCCAACATTTACCTATACTAGGAGATAGGTTTTGTCTAGAAATTGGTGTCCACAGAGGAATAAGTCCTGCTAAAAGGACTCACTCCATGCGGTGGTGAATGCGATGAGTAAAAGAGCTGTTAATGGCCAAGGCAAAGATCAGGGACCTCTGGCCCAGTCAGTGAGATCAGGAAGGACTTTCAGGAAGTATCCATACTAAACCTTCCTTCTCCTCCTCCTCCTCTTCCTCCTCCTCCTCTGTTTCCAGATGGCCTCTGAGATCTTACTGCTCCCTCCCTCCTCAGTGCCAATCACTGAACACACCAAACACCGAATCTCACAAAGAAAGCTCAGGTCCACAACTAACCAGTACAAGCCTCTCTGAGTAGGTAAGTATCAAATGATTGTCATGCACTGCTTTGCTTGGGAACTGACTTAGCAGGAAATTGGTAGCTCTCAGAACCGACCTGGTTTGGAGGGGCCTTGATACCATTAGTCCTAGGCACCAGGGCAAGGACATGAAGGGACTCAAATCTGAAACCCAAGCAGTTGCATCCTCACCACAGTCTACAGAGAATGGCTGTTTCTGAGTAAGCAACTTACTGTGTTTCCACACACACCAGCCCAAATGAAGAGCTCCCTCATGTGAACAGAATGGATTGCCCAAGTTAATCCCAGAGTCTGTTGGGGTGAAGTGAAGCATGGTAGAAAAATAATATGGAAGACTTGTTGCTGGGAAATCTATCAAATCTAAACATGAAAAAGACAAGAAAGGGGTAAAACAACAGTTAGATAAAAATAACTTAACATAAAAATAAAATAACAGAAGAACAAGGGTTCAAGGTGCTAAATCCTATAGTTGACTCCCAAACTGGTTCAAGATACGTCATTACAGTCCTCACATTTTGATTTTTCCTTCTTTGTGTACTTATTTACTTATTTTTAGTTATAACTAAGCACAAAGATTATTAGTGGTGCAGATTCAGACTAATTCACTTGATTCCTGTGCCTGCCATGTTTGACTAATATCCAGTAAGAACAGGTAGATTTCACTGAATGATTCACCTCAAGTCTCGAGAGCCTGCATATATCAGTCATGTTCTAGGCCCTGGGCACAGAGAAGTGATAAAGTAAAATTTCTGTTTCATGGAGCTCCCTTCCTTCCACTTTGATGTGCCCCTGGGATGTGGCATTGTCAATATGCCCAGCTAGGCAGCACACCAAAGTTTCACCCCTCTCCGGGTTTCTGGGATTCTTCTGAGGCATTAGCTTCATCCGTGTCTTCTCATTAGGTTTGACAGTAACTCTGGGAGGTGGCTGTTGTTGATCCTATCTCAGAGCAAGGAGACTGAAACTCAGAGTCTCAGGAACCACTGCTGCTCCGGGCCCCTGAGCCTCACATGCACTGTTACTTCCTCATTCCACTGTTGGCTAGGAGGCAAGTCACTGTGGGATCTCCAGCACCCTTCAAAAAAGAATCCTTCTTCAGTCTCAGCGTATGAGACCCATAGATGGACTCTGAGGACACGTCAAGTGAAATAAGCCAGTCACGGGATATACATTGTATGACTCTACTTACATGACTTACCTAAAATAGCCACATTCACAGAAGCACAAAGAAGACTGGAGGCTTCCAGGAGCTAGAGGAAAGAGGCTAAGGGGCAGTGCAGTGGATATAAAGTTTCAATTATGCAAGATGAAGAAGTTTGATAGATCAGATGTATCTCATTGTGCTCATATTTAACAATCGATCCTTCATCTCTCCTATGAGATGGAAGTGCCAGGTAAGTGTCCCGGGAAGGGAGAAGGAGAAGGAGAAGGAAAGGATTTCTGGAATTCTTCTCCATCTGTTGTGAAGGGAGGTTGCTTAACCAATGAACAAATATTTACTGGATACAGATTCTGTGTCAGGTATTCTCCTAGGAACTGGGGAAGCAACAGCAGACCAAATTGATAAAATTGGTGCCCTAATGGAGATTAGATTCCTATAGTAGAAGCAATAGTAAATAGACATCTCTCTAAAGTTATTTCAGACTAAGGTGTGCCTTTGGATTAAACAGGTAGAGTGGTGCGATTATATTTGGGCTAAGTTTTAGATATGGTGACTTCTGTGAGATGGTTGCAGTTGAACTGAGATGTGAGGACAAGAACAAGCCAAACATGCAGAGAACTAGGGGGAAGGAGAGCCAGGATTCCTGGGGCTCAGGCACAAGCACTCTCATAATTGAAGACAGCATTTTCATGATATCTAAAAGCTGCGGGAAGAACAGACCTGGGCTCATGGGAAGCAGAAATCAAAAAGTCGCAGTGGACATCCGAGTGTGGACAGTTGTCTACCTGTTGCTGACACTCAATGAAGAGCCTCTAAAACCACACAGTACAGCATGTCTCGGAACAGTGACAGGTACAGAAATGGTCAGGCATTGTAAGAAACCTACTTTTACATGAGCCATAGGATTTGTTTAAGTATGGGTGGAGTCAAAAAAGCAAGTGTTTGTTTTAGCAGATGGTGTTTTCTTGAAATAGTTACTGTCTTCCCACACCTTAGGAAATTGTTTTTCCCCAGAAGGCAGAGAAGTTATGAGGACAGGAAGGGTTCAGGAGTCTGACCCTCCATCATCCCCATGTCTTCTTGTTATCAGGCTGTCTTTGGAATCAAGGAGCTGTCAGACTCCAGGACAATGAGTGGGCAAAAGTGACACTGGCTGGAGACTAATGCCATTGTTTCTCGAGCCAGTCTCTCTACTAACATGATCCATTGCTTATATGTAACAGGAACATTTAATAAGCTGTGGGTACCCCATCCTTGAGATGCTGAGGATACATCATCATCAGTTTGAGCACCTGATGGCCAAACCCAAAAGCCGGAAGACCACAGGATAAGGGTCAAATGCATAATATTGCTCATTTTTTTTCTGCACACAGCTTCACCTACTGTGTACACACCATCATGACTATTTTTAAGTCACAACTGTAGGGTTGAGTCATTATGATGGCAGTCATTTGGCTCCCAAATATGAAAGGGGTCATGCGACCCTTTATGGAATAAGATTACTGATCTGACCAGTTAAATCTAGAAGTGTAGCTGTAGAACTTTGTGGCCACCTTCCTCCTTTGTTGCTTTGGCATCCTAGATCAGCTCCCAGGCAAAACTTCTTGTCTTCTCGTAGATCCACAGTTGTATGAAGAACCCTAAGGAAAAAAACCTCAAACAAGTTATCCCACAGCCAGATGACCTTGATACTGGGAGATAGCTCTGAACCTAGAAAATTCTCCAGTATCCAACACTGCTTAATCACTTAGTCATATTAACTCTGTCCATCCACTCCCAGAAGCTAAAGAATGTCCATTACTCTAGGAACCACACTCTTTCTTCAACTTCACACTCTGACTTCATGCTTTCATTCCTATCTGCTGCCTAATCTTTGTCTCATGTTAGTACCCCTAATAGGGACTTCAGTTGGTTTTATGAAAAAATATTGTCACTTGGAATAGTGTTTTCTGGCTAGACCAAGTCAGAGGTCACCAACAAGCCTGTATTAGTTGCTTTTCTGGTTGCTGGGGAAATATACCTGAGACCCAAAGTTGAAGGAAAAAGGGTTTATTTCAGCTCACATTTTGTAGAGGTTTCAGCCCATAGCTGGCTGGCTGCAAGGCAGGGTGATATGGCACAGGAGCATCAGAGAGGAGAAACAGTCCATGGCATGGCAGGATAGGCAGAAAGCAGCAAGCAGCAGCAATAGCTGCAATCTGCCATCCTTCCCTCTCTCCCTTTATATTTCATACAGGCTTTAAACCTATTGATTGGTGCCACCCACACCCAGGGTGGCACTTCCATTATCCACACTCTTAATTCCAGCATAACACCCTTAATCCATTCACACACCCTAATCCAGCCACCCCTGAAACTCCCCACCTATGACCACATGAGGCTTTGGGGGCTATGTTTAGATAGAAGCCCCAACAAAGCCAGTACCTTGCCTACCCCTTGGCTTATGTGTCTCCAGAGTTCTTTAGCTGGGGTCTCAGTGGAGGTTGTCACATAATCCCAGCCTGATAAATTCCATGGAAGGACTCTATTGTAATGGAGGGTTCTGAGAATGGATCTGCTCTGTATTTTGATGACAAAGTGTCATTTCCTTCTGGTGGATTGAGAAAGTCCTCAGAGCTCTCCAAATGCAGAGATGGGGGGTCAGCTGAGCCTGGCTAGGTGATACCTGCCCTGCAAACTTCAACATCATTGGCTAAATATTCATTTCCCAAGGACCATGCTTCTTTCCAGGACCCAAGGTAGTGTCTGCTCAGGGAAATGTCTTGCATTTGATATGTCTGCAGGACTGTTTACTCCCCCAAGGAATTTTTCTTAGTAGGACATTGCTTTCCACAGCATTTCACCCAACTGGTCTTTGCACAAAGTTCACGAGCTACTCAGAGAGGTCTGTTCTGCCCACTCCCCAGAATCCTCAGTGAAGCATGAAAAATTCAGCCATTTGGCTCACTTAGATTTTCCAGGTGTCAGATGTTGGCCAAGAAATATACAATGCTGCTAGATGGCACTTTTCTTTTTTCTTTCCACCATGTGTGTGACATTGTGCAGATGCTGATATTCAGGAAAGAAAGATTGGCTTGTTTCATTAATGAAATATTCATGAAATAACACCAGAGAAACTTGACAAGTCCTAGATGAGCCATTTATACTTTTTCATATCTCCTTCCTGTTCTTTGCTCATCTTAGACACTGTCTTAGTCCATTTCCTGTTGCTATAACAAAATACTTAAGACTGGGTAATTTATAAAGAAAATGGGTTTACATTTCTAGAGGCTGGAGAGTATAAGAGCATGGCATCAGCACCTCTCAGCTTCTGGTAAGAGTCTCGTGTTACACCATAACATAGTGCAAAAGTGAAAGGTCAGGTGGCCATGTGCAAAGAGAAACCATGGGAGATGAACCTGATCTCTAACAATCCACTCTCTTAGCAGCTAATCCAGTCACACAAGAACTGCATCAATCCCTCTTAATGACCTAATTACCTCTGAACCATCCCACCAGCTCAGAACATTGTTACATTTGGAAACAAATTCCAACATGAGCTTTGGAGGGGACAAACCAGATTCAAGCCATAACAGACGCCTGGAAGTTTCATTGTCTGCTTAACTTTCCTATCACTTGGCAATGTTATTTCATCAGACATATTCTATGGCTGTTCACATTATCTTTGATCTTAACGACTTTCTAATAATACTTTGGGATGGATATGATGTGTCTGAGTATGGTTGTTAAGGGTATGGCCTTCAATGTTCACTAGCCTCATTTAATACCTAATCATTCCCCCAAATGTCAGTTTCTATATCTATCAATAAAATAAGCCAATAGAAACTACTCACAGGGAGTCATCAGACTTAAAAATGAGATGTCATATAATGTATCAACAGGAGAGGTCCTTGTGGTAATGAACAACTCTCCAAGTCTCAGTGGCTTAAGAAACAGTTATGTTCATTTTTCCTTCGTGTTACTCATGCGTTGTGGGTTAATTAGTAGTGGGGAGGGGGTGTGGTGTGACTGTTCAGTGTAATTGTTGAGAGACACAGGCTGGAAAAGCAACCATATGTCACTTCTCTTTACAGCTCACTTGCAGGAATAGCCTCTCTTACCTGCAAAGAGAACTCGGTGCATTTTACTTAGTATTCCAGAAAAGAGAACTAGGAATATTGGATAATTTCTGCAACATAAAATTGGGGAACTATATATATTATTATAATCATTTCCATGACATATTCAGTCGGACCTCAGCATCCATTGAGGACTGGTTTTCACACACCCGCCTCCTAAGGATACCAAAAATCCATGGATGCTCAAGACCCTTCTAAAAAATGGAATGGTATTTGTGAATTACCTATACATATCCTCCTGTACAGTTTAAATTATCATCTCTAGAGTACTTATACTACCCAAACCATTGTAAATGTTGTGAAAAATAATTGTTACACTGCACTGATAAGGAACAATCATTAAAACGGTCTGTACATGTTGAATAGACATGAAGTTTTTTTAGTATATTTGATTATGTTTGGTTGAATTTGTGCATGGGGAACCCTCTGATGCTGATGGAAGGATACAAGTAAAGTTGTTAGCATAGTGTCCCAGGATCCAGGAGTACACAGTAAATGGTAGACATTATTGTTATTGCTGTTGTTTTTTGCCATCTTTTAAAAATTGTTTTGGCTATTGTAGGTACTGCTTCAATGAGTAACCTTATGGATAAGCTTTTCATTTCTATTGTTTACTAAGGATTACTCCCAGGAATAGAGTTAAGTGCCTAAGTTTTGGGATCAGATAGGGGAAGATTCAAATTTTGAATGAAACTTACTTGAAGAGAAACCAAGGCCAGAAGTTATACTTGTGGTGGGGAAAAAAAAAAAAAAAAAAAAAAAAAAAAAAAAAAAAATTTTCATTTCTTGTTTACTAAGGATTACTCCCAGGAATAGAGTTAAGTGCCTAAGTTTTGTGATCAGATAGGGGAAGATTCAAATTTTGAATGAAACTTACTTGAAGAGAAACCAAGGCCAGAAGTTATACTTGTGGTGGGGGGAAAAAAAAAAAAAAAAAAAAAGATACAAGGTCTAGCCTGAGACCCCAGGTTCAAACTTGTGTAGTTTTCTTTCCAGTTGTTTTCCTTCTGTATTTAAATAAGCTACTTAACAATTTTCATGCCTCCATTTATTCTTTGGTAAGACAGACACAATATCTTGGCATCTAATGGGTGCAACCTACACTTGGTATTCCTTCTTTTGCACAGAAGCAAAGTATCTTTATGGCTATTCCAATAAGCATAGTTATTGGACAAAGGATGTTTGTGGTTAGTCCATTAAATATTTAGACTAATGATTTGCAATCCTCAATGTGTATCACAACCACCTGGGGAACTTACAAACACTGAAGTCTGACCATCACCCTAGGGATTCTGATTTAATCGGGCTGGACTGTGGGCTGACCACTGGGATTTTCAAAAGCTCCTGAGGTGACTCAGATATTTGGCCAGGTTTAAGAACTGTTGACTAGTGGTGATCCTTGAACTTGACGGTGCTGTGGAATTTCAAGGGCTTGTTAAAACCCAGATTGCAGAGACTCACCTCCGGAGTTTCCAATTCAGTATTCAGCAGACATAGGGTAGAGCCTGGGAGTTGGAATTTCCAGAAAGTTCTCTGGTGATGCTGCTGGTGGTCCAGGGTCCCCACCCTGAGAGCCACTGGAGGGAGGGTAGGGGGTGATGCCATCACTTTGTGTACACCTGTGCCCTGGTGAAGGGCTCTCAAAGGGGCAAGTTTGAGCAGGCAACAGAATGACAAAATGTCCTCAGTACCTTTTCCAATCTCAAGGGCTGATACTCTTTCTATAGAAGGTGTCACTACAGGCAGAAACCCGTGACAACAGTCTGGTCCTCAGCTATTTTATTTTATTTTATTTTATTTTTTTATTTTAGAAGCTGGCAGCCAGCTGAAGCACTCAAACTGGGCCCAACTCAGAGAGCTTGTGCACCAGCCCTCCTGTGAACCAGACATTGGTCTCTCTCTCTCTCCCATTACCTCCATTAGTGCGGTTATTTGTGGCAATTCCTCTTCCTGTCTGCTCAGGATACAAAGTGCTGACTGGGAACCTGCACGTGATGTCTGAAACTTCCAGAACAGAAAGCAGCGATCGGACTATCTCTGACCCAGGTAACCAGAGCGGCAGGGGGTAGAGTGGAAGACGTGACGTACAGGCAGCCTGCGTGTGTGGGTAGAAGAGGAGCAGCCAGGGTGCGTCTAGATCCAAATACCCCAAATTGAAGCTGGCTGGCCTTAAGGTACCTGAGCAGTTTAGAGACAAAGCAGTATTTTTCCCCCTTCTATCATTACTCAAATAAATGCAGTTACGTGGAGGTGGTATGTGTGGTACTGGGGAACCAAAGGGGAAAGGATAGGGATAGAGATATAGGATTTTGCACACTCTCTGAATGACTGACTTGTACATTCTGCGGTAATGTAGGCGTCCTGAGTTTACAGAGGGGAGAAATTCAGTCCTACAGACTTGCTTTGGCCGACCAAAGCATGTCGGGATTAATAAGAAAAGCAGGAGTAATAGCTAACATGTAGCCCTGACTCTGGGCTGCACACTACTAAACTAAGCCACACACTATGCTCAGCTCAAGTGACTTGCTCAAGGTCTCACATCCAACAGGGATTTGAACCCAGGCTCTTTGGTCCCAGAATCCACGTTCTCCGTCCTGCAGGATGGCTTGTGAGGAAGTTCAGGATGTGGAGCTGAGTGCTCTCCAAGTCTGTGGTCGATGTGGTGGTTAAGTTAAACTGTGACAACTTGGTAGGCTTGGGAGCCAACCAGGGATTTGGTAAAGCCCTCTGGGTGCATGTGGTTGGGTCGCATTAGCATGACCTTGGGAACTTTCCTCTCTGGCACTGTTTCTGTGCTCTGCTTCCAGGGCACCACGGACTAAGCAATTTTGCTCCACCATGACCTTCCACCCTGATGCCCCATGCGTGATGTCTCCATGCACTCCAACTATGGACTAAGACCCCTGAAACCATGAGCCAAATTAAACTTCTCCTGTTTTGTGGGTGTTGGGCACTGGGTTCCAGAGATAGGAAAGCTGAATAATTTAGTCACATTTTGTGGGCTGAAAGCTGGGCCATGGCTCCTAGCTGGACCAAGGATTGATAGGTCATATGTGATGCCTGAAGATGGCTCCCTTTTGGAGGGGCCCCTCTTCCTGAAGATCCCTCATGCAAGGTGCTGCCTGGCCACCTTAGGAAACTCTTCTATGAGTATGCAGCACTGACCTCACCGTCCCCACCTTCTGGGTCACCTCTCCCCTGCACCTACCTAGATGTGCCTCCTGAGCCTCTCCCAAAGCAGCACCCCTTGCTGTCTCGCAGGCACCACACACTCTTCCTCTTTCCATCCCATAGCTCTTTCCTCCTCTCTTCTCTCACTGGCCAACAGGAAAAGTGGACCGGGAATTGGTCAAGCTAAGGTCTGCCGCTGCTCTGATATTTATTGACCAGGCAACAGTTGACAGAATCCACAGCATTGTTCATAAGCAATGACAGTGGTACCAGGCAGGCCAGGCTCACGTCCTGGCACTGCTACTTCTGGATCTGGGGTGAGAGACTGAATCTCTCTGGATCTCCAGTCCCTGACATGTAAAATGGGGGCAATAATTCTGATCTTATTCAGTTCCTGAGAAGACCAAATGATCTCAAGCCAGTAAGGTGCTTAAAACAATGACTAGCACAGTGAACAAGAATTCAATTAATGGTAATTAGGACAGCAGTTATTATGATGACTTCCCTCCCTGGCCTCAGTTTCTCTGGAAGTTGGATTGACTGATTTCTGAGGTCCCTTCCAACTCCAACATCCTCTGACTCACTGGCACCCTTCTCATTTCTGGGGTTTTTATTAGATTGCCACAACTGACTCATCTTTCACTATTTCTCTCTGTTATCATCACCATCCGTGAAAAATATACCCTCCTTCCTTTTGTACTCAGACCATTGCCCCTTCTTCTTGGCCCTGGGGGGGCTGCATAATCCCAGCCAGCCATCTCCCTGTGTGCAACCATCACTTTGAGTCAGATTCCGTTGGATTTATAAGGCACCAGAGGAGTAGGTAGTCGATATGAATAACCATTACATTGGGGAGGGCTTTTCTTCTCTCTCTGACTGATGACAGCTAAATTACTGCTAAATATAGGCCCTGAATTTGCATGAATCTGCAGCTTGCCACAGCCAGGCTGGGGGTTTTATTGACAGCTGAGGCACTGGAGGCAGGCAGGCACCTGCTCTGTACACCTCTTCCTGAGGAAGTGTGGAGTCAGGCAGAGCACGCCCCTCCCTCACCTCCTCTCCATGCACTCTGCTCTCCAGGCTGCCAGTTCTGATGGTTCCAAGAAAAAAGGTTGGACTGTAGATTTGAATCCTAGATGTGCCATCCAGCCGTGTGATCCTGAACAAATTATATAACCACTCCATCTTCCTCCCCCTGCCTCAGTTTCTTTATTGGGATAATGGAGACAATAATAGCATAAAATGGCTGATATAAGGAGAAGTTCTGAGCTGGGCTGCTCCAAATTTTTATCTTGTTGGAGTAGCACATTTGCTTTCTTTGTCCTTAGATTATTGCTTCAAAATCCCAAAATGGCAGCTCTGGGCATCAAATCATATTACTATCAAATTTGAGGCAGAAAAAAAGAGGCAGCTTTCCTCGTCACCTACTTCCCTTTTCATCAAAAAGTATCATCTTTCATAGATGTTACCAGGAGACTCCTACTCTATAGCTCACAGCAATAATAATAACAGCAATAGCAACATTTATGGAGCGCTTACCACATGACAGGTGACTTTCCATGTACTTTCCATGGGTTAACTTCATACAACATCCCCCAAATAGATGCCATTTCTAAACTTCAGAGAGGTTAAAGAACTTGCCCAAAGACAAAAGGTACCTGTGTGCACTGAGATCTGATCCCACATAACTCAGCTGTGTTGCTCAGGAATTTGAATGATGATTACAATCACTTGTTCAAGCTTAGGTCACAACTGATGAAAGATGGGACCCTGGGGCTGCAGCAAACATTTACCTTCCCAAGCAGGTGGGGCTCTGTAAACTAAGAAGAAAGGGCAAACAGCCCGGGGAGAAGCCAGAGTTGTCTGTGCTATTGCCTCATTAGCTTGTTGGAAAGTTAAGAGACAAACAGTTCCTGTCCTAGTCTGTTCAGGCTGCATCATAAAATGCCACAGAGTGGGTGACTGAAACAACAGAAATTTTTATTTTTCTCAGTTCTGGAGGCTAGAAGACCAAGTCTGAGATGCTTAGCCTGTAAGTGCAAACCATCTCACCATGTGCCCTGTTTTGGAGTGAGGAAGAGAACGCGACAGCTCTCTGTGGTGCCTCTTATAAGAATGCTAATCCCAATTGCCAGGGTCCCACCCTTGTGACCTTATCTGATCTTCATTACTTCCCAAAGTCCTCATATCCAAATACTATCAAATTGGGGGTGAGAGACTCAACACATGAATGGTGAGATCCTCAATTCAGTCATAGCAGCCCCTGAGTACCTTTTCCAAAGTAGATATCTAATAAATGAGTGTCCCTTCTCCTCTGCCACCTCCTCCTTCTCCTCCTCCAATTATTGATTCAATTAGTTATTTTAGACACATGCCATGAGGCTGACCTCAAGACACTAGTCTAGTTGGGGAAAGAAGACAAGAAAGAGTTAAGTCATGACTCACAGTGCCGTTTGTCTAAGGGCCAAGTGCCTGAGCTTGTTAGGGAATGTGCCAGATGGAGCAGTGGGTCCTGCTTTTCCTGCCCATCATGGTGGCCAATCTGCTGAACTTCCAGATCTATCCTGGGCTAGGATGCATCAGAGAAGATCCAAGTTAACTTAGTGACAGGTTTTTGGACATCCTGAGCTAGACCATCGAGGATGGAAAAATCTCAGCTGGCAAAACCAGTTTTGGAGAGAGATGATTTTCTGAGGCTGGGAAAAGCTGGACTAAATAAATGTGTATGAGGCTCAAGCTTCAAGCTTATGACATCATCAGAAGACACTGAAGGGGAGATCTGGGTGAGGCGAAACAATGTGCCCAGAGCCAGGTCCACCCCAGAGTGTCAGCTGGCAGAGCTCTTGGCGGACTGATACCTGAATAAGGACTGGGCACAGGGACAGCACCATTGCAAAGTCAGGGGAGATATCACCAAAGAAGGAATGTTGGCATTAAGAAGCATGCTTGGAGGTACCAGTTGCCATGTGGAGGAAGCCAGAGTGAGAACGGAAATGCATCCTGGCTGCCTGAAACTAATGCTGCCTTCTCAAAAAGCCAGCCAGTGAAGGACGACCAGAGCTCAGTTCAGGTCCTCGCCAAGAAGGGGTGTTGTGGTTGTGGAAATAACACATGAAAGGCCACGAAAGGTCACCTCTGTGAGCCAGTGGAGCTTCCAGCATAGGACAAGTGATAAGGAGGCCAGGATGCCCAATGGCACAGCTCCCAGATTGACCCAGGTCCAAATCCGAGCTCTGCCATTACTAACGTGTGATCTTAGACAACGACTGAAACCTCCAAATCTTATTTCCTTTCCACCTGGTTAATGCAGACGGCGGTCACTGAGGGTTATGGGATGGGTATGCAAAGTGGTGCAGGTGTCTACCACACAGTGGGAGGGGGACTGTGGCTCTGCCTTTTAAGGCTAATAGACCGGTGGATGGATGAAGGCAGGCTGCCTCTGTCACCTGTGGCCTCCTGTCACTGACAGCAGCTACTCGAGGCTCTCATGATGAAAGCCCAGTGTTGGGAAGAATGTCACACTGGGAGCACTCTTTGAACCCTTCCTTGATGGAAGATGAATCAGTGGTCAGCTTCATTTCACAGACAGGCCCTCTAATCCCAACTTTTCATCTGCTTTTGTGGCGTCCCCAGGGTGTCTTCAGTCAGGACGCAGATCTTTTGCTTTCCAAGACTAACCCTTCAGAGAGCGAGGCTTGAGGCTGTATCTGTCCCACCCCCAACCCCGGATGATCCCACCTGGCCTTGGGGCTTGGATTCTAGTGACATTCAGGAGGGTCCTGGGCAATACTCACCCATCCACACCCCTTCAGGCACTGCCCATCTGTGGCCAGTCCTAATCTCCCACAGAGCCCAGTGGCAGGTGCTTTTGTCCTGGAAGCATCAGTGAGATAGAAACATGTTTGAATGGTCTGAGCACAGGGCAGAGACATACTGGTTAGAGATGGGGTAGCTGCCTGGTTTGCCTCTCACTGGCTTCCTGTCTAGGTCACATTTTTGTACTCACTCCTTCCTCCTTCGAACCTCCCAAGAGACTGAGGATGCCCAGCTTCCTGCCTGGGTCCTTATCTGCCCCCCCACACCCTGCCAGGGTGGGCCTGGCTAGTTTTCTCCTGAAATTCCAGGAAAGGCCTGGCTCTATATTTTGTTCTCCCACAGTCTCTACCCTGCATTCCAGAAACATTTTTCTTTATTCATCCTACCAGAGGCACTGACTCCCCCCTTGGACCATGAGCTGATGGGGTGGATGTGTCCAAGCTCTCTGAGAACTTGGATTCTGTCACTGTGGCTGTCTTCCCATGACACCAGTTCTGTATGTAGTTACTCTGCGCCCTACTATCTTCCACTCTCGTGTCCCTGGATGTATCTGCCATCCTCCCAGCATGGCCAGCCACCAGCCAGTTTCTGCTCAGCTGTATGGGCATGTCAGCTAATAGGATGGATGCATGAACTTTAATTCCCCTGTGGACTTCAAATTTAGATACAAAATATTGCATTAGCATGCAGGTCCAAAGCTTTCTAGAAGTGGTTCAGAAACCTCCAAAATGTTTTAACACAGTGGATGTGAGCCCTCTTCAAGACCTCTGATCATACACACACTGTGTCTTGTTCCTCTTTGTGTCAGTTGTTCCTAGCCCATGTCTGAAGCACAGTAGGTGCTCAATAAATATTCTCTGGATGAATAAATGACCAGCGAATACAAGGACGAAGATGTGATGCATCCTGAATCTAATGGAGCAAGGAAGGAACTTGCTCTCCAAAGACCCTGGAACATGCGTCTCTGCTCTGATATTTTCCACGATGGGGAGGTTCCTCTTACACAAAACAATTCAATGCACCGATTCTCTTGGACAAAACTGAAGTCTATCCTTTTTCAGCTCCTACCCTTTGGCTCAAGCTTTGGCCTGACAGGCTGCCCAGGAATCAGCTCACCTCTTAGGCACTTCAAGGCAGCTCATTAGAAGCACAGGCATCACCCGCTCAGCATCGGCCAATGCCAGTGATATTTGCTGCACGTCCAGTTCCCTCCTAAGGCCAGTTGGCACAGGGGTGTGGGGTGGGTATTCTCCAACCTCTATGAGGTGTCAGCTGCAGACAACCCTTTATGAGGTCTCTTCCCAGAGTGAACCACAATTTTCTGGACAGAACAAAGAGCATCAGAACAAAAGAGAGCTTTAGAGTTCATAGGAACCAATCACCTTAATTTACAAAGGAGCCGACTGATGCTCAGAGAGGGGAAATGGTCATCCTCAGGTCATGCATCTGGAAGCAGAGTCCAGCTCCCCCAGCCCTTAGTCCAGGGCTTCTCTTCTTGGACGCTGTAGCCTCCTTCCTGTAGCCCTTGGAATGACACTCAGGGGTGGCTAGAGTCCTGTCCCTCTTGACAAGGTTACAAATATCATCTCCCCTTGGGTGGCTGGACTTCCCTGCATCTGCCGCGGGCTGGAGTTCCTTCCTGCTTTGCTAAGTGTTGGAGGGCTGGGAGTTCAAGCCTTACCCTCTGTGTGTGTTCTCTCAGCTGTCAACAGGTGAGGTATGCCAACTCCTCATGCAGTGCAGGGCAGTGTTTGCAGTATAATTTCTGGAACCAGACAATGCAGGGTTCAAATCTTAGTTCTGCCACTTCTCAGCTGAGTAAATGGCAGAACTTCTGGGTAAATGGCTTGACCTTTCTGAACCTCAGCTTCATAAACTACAAAATGAGATCACAGGACTCTTTGAAGTTTAAATGAGGGCAAGGTGTTAGCTGTTATGACTGCTGAGTCTCATTCTGATTCCCTACTTGCCAGAGCCAGCAACTAAGCAGAGATGTGGGCCCTGTAACTTTCTGTGCTATAAGAAGTGGTTGCCAGCATACTCGAAGAGGAGCTCAGCAGGGCTCCCTGTTTCTAAGGAAACATGATCTGCAACAGTGCATCCAGTGAACCCCTCTGGGAAGTTGCTTCCACGGGACAGTGTTACACAGTGACTACAACAGTGTTGGCAAACCTGTGGCACGCGTGCCACAGTGGGCATGCAGAGCCCTCTCTGTTGGCTCTGGATTGTAATTGTTTTTTTCTAACTAAAACCTCAGTGTTCACGTTTGATCGCAGTGTTGGCACTTTGCAATAGATAGAAAAAGTGGGTTTTACCTTGTCATTTGGGCACTCGGTCCCTAAAATGTTCCCCATCACTGGGTTAGAGCCAAGAGCCCTCTGGGCCTGACTCCTTAGTTTCACTTCCTAGACCTCAAGTTCCTTTGCTTCTCTTTGACTCCGTTCCCTTACAGCAAAAGGGAGATGATAGTACTGCCCCGAGCTTTGCCCTGCGAGAACAAAGTACCAGGTGTAAAGGATGGCGTCTGACGTCCATTATATCGTTAGTAACGATGTTAGCTAATATTTATGGAGCACTTAGGCTGTGCCAGGCACTGTTTCAAGTGCTTTTGGATATATTAATTCATTTAATCTGCACAACAATTCCACGAAATAGAATTTTTATCATCTTTGCCAGCGCAAAAATGAAGGCGTGGAGAAGTTAAAAGTGACTTGCTGGTGACTTAGATTTGCAGCCAGACATTCACACACTGATTCCCCACCTGACACCCGTGGAGGAGTCACACAGGAGAGGAGTGGCTGCTCAAGCTTTCCGATTGGTAGTAGAACTTGCCGTCTATGTCAAGGAGGCATGAGGCTGTCTGGAGCCATCTTTCTCCTGAAAGCTTGGGCCAGAACCGAGGATACAGCTTTGCATGATAATGGAGGGTGAAAGAAACTGACCCTGGCAGAGCTCAACTGCTAAATTTTCCATGCAACAGTCATTGACTGCATTCCTAGGCTAAAGCCCAGAAGCAAAACGGCTGTTGGTTCTATCTCCTAGGAGCACCTGGCAAAAGGAATCTGCTTTTTAGACTACTGTGGTTTAATTTTAACTGTGGCCTACACTGAAGTTGGGAGGATGAGCAAGGCAGGGGCCAAGGCAGGAGGAAGACAGGGCTCGGGTATCGTGACATAGCCTGGGTTCTCTGGTCTACTCCCAACCCACAGGATGCATGGCATGTGGGGTTCCCTGATCTACTCTGAGACTGACTGGGCATATCTTGGGCTCCAATCTAGCAGCATTCAAAACTAATCTCAAATCTCCTGGTCTCTCCTAAAATGAAGTCAATCCATCTTTCTAACCCTCAGCTTTCTGGGAGCTTCATAACCAAGATCTGTAAGCTGACAGCTAAACTCAGTCTAAGAACCTTAGAAAACTCCTAGACCACCTTACATCTGTCTAAGAAAGACCTGCAGTAAGGAAGCAGGTCCTGTTTCTGTTACTACTACCAACCCTACCAGACTACTCCTGTGCCCAGCAACACAATAGGAGTCATGCTACTTCTATGCATACTAGGAGACAAGGCTGCTTCTGTACATAGCAGATGGCAGCTATTAAATAAATATTATTTCTGCCGTAGGGTAGAACTACCTTGGAAAGTTGACACTGAACAGGAAGGCAGATAGGCAGGAAATAAAAATACCTGGTCAGAGATAGTAGTGAGCAATAAGCAGTTCCTGAGCAAGTGGTGCTGATGATGGCAGGGACAGGGAGCATCTTAAATGATTAGCAGTCCAAGAGACAGTGCTGAAAACCTTTGGCCCACTCAGCCCTGCAGTCCTCACGTGTGGCACTCAGCATGCACAGGTCCTTACTGGTTCCTGTAAGCAGCAAGTGCTTAGAAAGGAAATGCAGTGAAGTCCAAGCAAGCAGCAATCTGCACTCCCAACAGCCACCCGCTCTCCAGGCAGAACAGGACTCCCGGTCAGAGTTTATGACTCCAGGATAGGGCGTGGTCTTCCCCAGAGCAGAGCACAGCACACACTTGTGCAGCCAGGAAGCAGTGCCTGCCTCTCCAGGTGAGGTTCTGAGGATACCAAGAGCCAGTACTCATCAGGAGACATGACTCAGGGAACCAGGAGATAGTACTGGGACTCCACGAAGATTGTAACCCACACCTCGGGAGCAGCAGGCAAGGGGGGGCACTAATCCTGGGCAATGGTTTCTTCTCTCCTGGTTTTAAGTGTGCAGACAGCTGTTAACGGGTTGGCCAGAAAATAGCAGCCCCACCCTATCACTGCTGGGACCACTTGATCAAGCAGATTTTGGATGACGTCCTTAAATAAGAGTACGATTCTCTGCTCTGGACCACTGAGCTAAGAGAACAACCAGGCCTGAACAGCCTCACATCTCAGGGAATGGATAATCCCACCTTTAGAGTTAGGCTAGGGCTGGTCTGCAGTGTGTTGGAAAGATCCTTATTACACTATACCTTTCATATTCTAGAAATACTTTATGCCTACATAATCCTCTGTGAACCAAATTCCTTGGTTTTTAAAAATTAATATACCATGGATGCATCTATATCATCTGCCTTATCTTTTTCACGGCTGCCTATCTTTCATTCCATAATATCCTATAATTTACCTAATTAGTTTTCCATTGCCTGACATTTAAATTATTTTCCATCTTTCAGTATTTCTACCAATGATATCAACTTGTGCTCCTTATGTATGAGTGTACCTGTAAGATAAGCTCCCTGAAGAATGCAGATTACTGCATCAAAATATATATACTGTTTAATATTTCTTTAAGAGAGACTTGGAGGTTCCTTTGGAGAAAATTGTGGATGGAAGATGTGATGGCTGTTTTGGCACAGTGTATGGCAAGCATAAAGATAACCTGAAGATATACTCTCTTCACTGAGAATCTACTGCCATGATTACTATGAAGCTAGCTTTGGGTGTAGCTCTCACTGTCTCCCTGGCCCCCATTGTGCTCATCAAAAAGGATCAGCTGACATGCTATGCTTGCAGGCCCGACCTTGGGGGAAACTGGTTTCATGGTGGACAATCTGGTTCCACGGTCCTTCAATTCCTTGATGGATGGCATCTTCTCATTTAGGACATGGATCTCAGAGAATTCATAAAGCGAGGCCAGTTGCATAGGTAAGCGGTTTGTGCAGTTCCTGTAGTGACCATTTCCCATCATGCTCTGCATACTTCACTGTGATACCCACTTCCGGTTTGCCACGGATAGTTTCCTGAAGGAAGACTGGCCACCCCACAGGCCCTGCAGCTTCAATGATTTCTCAGCCTCTTCAGTTCTTAAGAAGATTTGAGAAGGAAACACTTGGCAGAGTTATTCACAGCCCATCATACCAATCAAAGCAGGCAGTGGGTGAGGAGGCTCAGAGCTCCAGCCAACCTGGCATTGAGAGAGGTTTCTGGTACTGGTGGTAGTGTAAGGGCTACGTGGATCGTGGTAGACAGCTAAGGGCAGGGGACTGGGACCCTGAAGGCCTGGCCAGGGTGAATGCTGTTCAACCCAAGAGTGACTGAAGCAGGAGCCATCTCTGCTGAACATTCGCCCCACTCTTGTCCTTTTGATAAATGTCACCAAATTTTCCAGCCTTCACCAGTTTGTTCCACAAACAGCACACAAGAATGCCTACTTCACTACCCCCTAACACTGTGTCTTACAAAACCTCTGAATTTTGCCAATCAGAGGAAAATAATGTCTCATTTAAAATGTGCATTTCTTAAACTATGAAAGATAGTTTACATATTTTAAAAATATATTAATAGCCATCTACAAATATTTTTCTCTGAGTTATTTGTTCATGAGTCTTCTTTTGGTTTTGCACATTGCTGTTTCCTGATGATTTATCTGTCATTTTCATATCAATCTATAATGGCTTTTGACATATTAAGTAAACGAGGTCTTTGTCATATGAGTTGCAGATATTTTTCCCAGTTTGTTTGTTGACTTTTGAGTTTATTTATAGTGCTCTTTGAAGTTCACAAAATTTAATTTTTCTACTCAAATGACTCAATTATTTACCTTTTCAGTGTAGTTTGTGTCTTGCTTAGAAAAGCTGTCTCCACTCCATAATCATTAAAATAAAAGTTCATGTCTCTTTCTTATAGCTTCATTGCATTATTTTTCATGTTGAAATCTTTGCTCCATCTGGAATTTGCTGAAAAGTGAAGACAGAATCCAGCCTTTCTTTTGTAGAAGGCCAGTTGCTTTTCTCAATATACCTTGTTGGATAATCCTTTAGAAATGATTTGAAATACCATATTCATCATCTGCTAAATTACTATATGTTCTTGGATCTCTATCTGAATTCTATTTTCATTTATCCACCTGGCTTCTCTTAGCACCAGTTTTAAGTATTATAGATTTTTGTTATGTTTCAGTGTCTGGCAAAGCTTGCTGTTTTCTTATTCTTTAATTTCAGAATTTTTCTGGCTAGTGTCATATTTGTTTGTTTTTACATAGATTTTAAATCAGCTCCTCTGCAGCCCCTAAATTCTTCAGATATGTTCATAGAATCACACTGCTCTGTGAATAGTTCTCTTTTCCAGAGGGACAGCAGAGTTTCCTTGTGCTGAGGTCCTTTGGATAGGGCTATGTCCATGAGTTTGGAAAACAATGTGATCAATCCAACTTCTTGGTGAAGACACCTCACATAAGATGTTCTATAATGAAAAGAGTTCAGTGGTTAAATAAGTTTGGAAAACCTTGGGTTAAATGATGTTAAAAGTTAATGCCTTACTGAGCACATACTATTGGGCACCCGCTATATATATATATA